CCCATGCTGAAGAGATGGAGCACGACTTCAAATTTGAGGCAGTTGCAAATTGTGGGCCGAGGTGATGATCACACATAAAGGCAGATTAAAGAAACCACATACATTTACATGTCCCCTATGTTGTTTTAGGAACCTTCTTAGCAGGGGACAGTCATGGCATGGAACAATTGGGGCAGCCAACTAGCTCCCAGCCAACGTTTATATACCCGAAAAAAGCCGGGGCGCAACGGGGCGAACCCACTAAACGCAGGACAATGACAGACAGGGTAAACGAGGAGGCTGAATGCGAGACGCGAAACACACACAGCGGCTCGGCCGGGATTGGTAGAACACGCACCATGAAGAATGAGCGACATAAAAACGAGGTCCATGCGTCAGAGTTTTCAGTCTCTGGAGATGGGTAGACGAGACAACTATCCGAAACGCCAGACTTACAATAAACCTCTTATGGTGGACGCTCTTCATTCTTCTGATTTTCTAAAATCTTTCTACAATGCGTACTTGCCAGTTGAAGTTTGACTATTTGCAGAAGTTACGCTTATACCAATCTTAGCAGATTCTGGAGGGCTAAAACAATTCTTCCTTCCAGGTGAACTTGTTGGAAACTTCGGAACCAGACACTCTGGCCGCACAGAACCTCTTCGCAGATATACGTTCCCCTAGACAGGCGAGCACGGCTGCTGTTTTTTGCGGACTGCCTTTTGGATTATATTCTACAAATCTTCATGTATAGCCTCGTGCTTTTCTCTTTAGGGGTGCTAGTAAAAGCCGTGTTAAATACAATGGTAATCATCTCCCTCATGCAAATTAACAAAAACGATTCGTCCAATACTTTCCGTTCATAAAAATCTCGGACCACCAAACAAAGGAAATGTTTAATTAAAGTTCTTTCATAGAAGGGCTGGTAATTTGTCCTTGGTAGCAAATCACAATGACGTCAACTGAAATCATTCAAACACGCTCGCCCAAAGCGGAGCACGAGCCCGAGCTCGAGAATGAGCACGAGGATAATCATCATCATCATCGTAGTCATCATCGTCGTCGTCATCGTCATCGTCATCATCATCGTCATAGTCCTTCGCTGAATATACTCTCCTTACTGAAGATGGCCAACCACGAGGCAGACTGGGGCGTCTACCGACTGGGCGAGATCTAATAAGGCTTCTTATGGACGCATCGCCAGCAACACCTATGCCAGCCGCATTGGCGACCACATTTTTCTTCGGCGGCGCTGAGAATTCTGTGGTGGATCCTGTGGTTTCAGAGATTGTGGGATGTGGAGTTGTGAACAGTGTAGTTACGTCAAGGTCAGAGCTATCAGCTGACGCCATGGGTGTCCAGCTGATTTCACCAGCGGCGCCAGTCAATTCTGCCCCGGATGACGTCTCCTGTTCAGGCATTAAG